TATATACGTATGTATATATTTATATATAATATATACGTATGTATATATATATATATATATATGTCCAGGTTCACCATTCAGTTCATACGAACACACATACACCCATATATATTTATATATATGTATATATGTGTGTGTGTGTGTGTGTGTGTGTGTGTGTGTTCGTATGCACTGAATGGTGAACCTGGACCGAACCCAGTTTTTATGTTTGAGTTTAATTGATACTTTGTTATGTGCATGTATGCAGAACGCTTTGAAAACTTGTTGGACAATCTGCTCGTATACAGTTTCGAATCAGAGCTGCTGTTCGTTTATATACAAATGTATATGTATTCATCGCTTGTAATGGCAATCCAGGAACTTTCATTGGTGCCACCGTCCGTTTCCAGATTTCAAGATATTGGATTTCGTATGTCCCACTGTGGCACTTCTTGGCACATGTTTCTAGGTGTATGCATACCACTCATTATTATATTCTGGCCAGTGCAATGTACTTGTACAACTTTCAATACATGGCTATAGGAAATGGCATGCAGCATGCAGAACCGGCTATATACCATATTTACACTCTCCATCATATATCCTACCTGTACACTGATTCAAACTGAACCTGTAAGTAATCGAAGTGTTAACCCCCTTTCAAATTCTACTGTTAAACACGTGTACTTTATTTATTTTTTAACTTATATATGTTCCTCTCAATACGCTTATACACTTTGCCCTCGCAGTCTCGCACTATCTGCAATGACCCCAAACCCATGTGGGGTGCACGCTTCGATGTGGTGTTGAAAGAACAGCTGCCCGAGTACTTCACATTGGAGTTCTACGACAGCAACAGCCCAGGCGGCAAGACCGAATTGGTCAACTCGTTGGAATATAAAGTCACAGAAGACGACTACATCCACAATCACGAGGCAAATGTTTGGTAAGCCTGTCTGTATATATCGGCGTCTGTGTATATGTAGTGTGTGTGTGTGCGATGGTGCGAGTGTGCGTGCAAATGCGTGTATGCAAATGCTCGAAGCCTTGCTTTGGAATAATGGGATCTGAAGGGATGCGCGGAGCTGCCATTACCAAATCACCATAGCGTTAGCGCTTGCGCACAAACAGTTTGTTTTTAATACTGTAGACGAGGCGTATGACTCAAGCGAACCTGATTACATAGACGGTTATAAACAGATGAAGCATATACCATCACTGTATGGCAACAGAGTAGAGGAACATCTGTGCGAAGTCTTCTTAACTGCACGTGCCACTATGAAAGTCACCGTGTGATCGCTTATATTCAGATGGATATCTATATGCAGATAGGATAACACTGACATTCCGAGGGATTTACGTAGAACTCTCTCAAATGTCAAATGAACACCCTAAGGTGCCGTATGACAGCAACCCACGGGTATATATAACTGCAGGAAAGAACGCATACTCTATTTTAGTCCTTGTGTTGTAAACGTAGTTAAAATGTATCGCCCGATTTACCTTTTCTTCGCGGAAACTCCAGGAAGAACTTGGACAAGGGTGGGTCGGTACAGATTTCCGTGTTTGCGTACAAGGAGGAAAACGTACCGAGCGAGATGGTACGGAAACGTGGCGAAGTCACCAATGCCAAAGGCCTGATGTCCATCACAGTGGTGTGTAAAGTCTATTCAGCGTTGATAGGAGCGCAAGCATTGTTTTCTCTCCGTGTCTGAAGCCAGTTCCGGTGGTGGTATAGGGTAAATGACCGGCCTATCGGCCCTATAAATATCCTTGGAAGTGCTGCACTCTACCAGACCACCCACTCTTTCCATATGTATCACAGAGGCTCTAACTCTGTATCGCCTTCTTTGTGGTACACATTCAGGGCAAAATCAGTGAAATCACCATCCACACAAGTAAGCTCAAACGCCCGGTGAATTGGGTCAAGAGGCATTTGCGTTCTGGCGATAGTGCGAGCAAAGATGGCCATTACTGCTTTCTGGTGCTAGAGTTGGGTGAAACGGCGTTCAAAACCCAACGCGTGCCCATAGATAACCCAGTATTCAAGTATGTGAATAGCCTGAGCTTGAGTTGTTTGGGACGCGTTTTCGTAGGGTATAGGGTTTAGGGTTCAAGGTTTAATTCGAATTAAATCGGATTGTTCGGCCGTTGTTTCTATTGTAGTTGCAGGTTTTTGTTGTAGATTTGTAAGGGGAACGGAACAACGCTGTTCTCAACCCAGCGAGTAGCTAGTATTCTCACAAAGCAATATTTCAATACATTTATATATATATATATAAATATATATATGTATATGTACA